TTCACGCGGAAAAGCTCAATCGCGCCCACCGTGGCGGCGATCTGCCAGAGGCCCGCGGCCGGGACGGTGGTCAAAGCCCCGAAAGGGTTCAGGTTCGCAAACGCATCCACACCAACGTCCTCGTTCCCCGGAAGGTGATAGATGTTGGGGAACACCCATCCGAGGGCGGCAAGCATGGCGACTCGGCCGTGAACAATCTCTGCTTCACGGTACCACTTCAGGGAGCGGCCCGAGCCTCCGATCAGCCAAGGACGGGGAGGGTTGTTCGAGAAGCCGACCGGGTCAAAACCCACATCCCCAGGAAGGCTGCCGTCCAGGTTGGGCGGTCGCTTGTCGAAAGGAAGCGCAGTAGACAGGTCGTCATCCGCGGCCATGCGCACCGCGCCGGTGGCACGACGGGCCAAGGGTGTAGGGGCGATGAAGGCACTTGCCATCGAGGCGAGAGAGAGAAGAGCAATGACCCTCATTCTTGAACGCGCAGGAAAAAAAAAAGCTGGTGGAGGAAGATGTTGTGTTGAGAGAATGTGAGATGGTACGACGTGTGTAAAGTCGAAGAGGAGGGGAACGAGGGTAAGATGGTGGCAAGAGCGAGCGCTGCTCAACATGCGCTAGATTTACCATCCTTACAAATATTCATACAGAGGACACCGTGCAACAATATAACAAGCGGGAGAAGGTCTGAATACTTCACACAGGCATGCGCATGCTTCATTGTGAGCAAGAGTGCCGTTGGGCAAAAAGCGTGGGAGTAGAAATCCAAGTTGACCTCGCGATCATTCCAGGGATCCTTGCTTACCGTCCGTCGACTTACAAGGATAAATGGAGTCAACACCAACAGCCAGCTGGGCCAGCCCCCCTTGCGTAACGAAAAGGATTGTTTACAGGGACCAAAGCGAGCACACTGACCACCCCACAAAGGCCCGGGGCTTGGACAGTCTTGCAGGATATCGACGGGAGGAATCCTCAAGACTTTCGCTCGTTGCGGTTACTGCCTGAGAAGCTTCGCGTTTTTCAACCCTCCACGCAAGCTGTCTAGAAATAGCACAGCCGTGACGACCGGCCCATCACGCTGGGGTGTTCCTCGAGCTTGCTCTAAATTGTGCCCCTTTTTTCGCACACCATCCCCGTGATAGGACATGTCCCTGGCTGGAGATGGACTGAATGACGAGCTCTATTACTTGCTGTGGGCAAAGAGCGAGGCGGCCTCCCGTCGTCACCGGAAACGCAACGATCTTTTTCGGGGTGAATGCGGTCGGCACCAAACGCGACAAGGAACGCAAGTGCCCTGGTACTTGCCGCAGACGGTCGTGTACAAAGCTTCGAGTCCGTGCGCTTGGTATTTTACGTCCGTCAAGACCGGCGAGATCTTGAAAAAAAGCAAGCACAACCTTCTCAGCCGCCGGATCGAAGAGGAATTTACGAAGCAAAGCCAAAGCGGAGACATAGTGGCCTACTATCTCACATTGCCCAATGCCTTCCGAGAGGACGAACATCCGCCAATTCCGGTGCAATCACCGCGAGTGTTGCCAACGTCGACAGACGCTCCGACAAGCGCCTCCTCTTCGACCACACCCGGTCATGACGACGATGCCCGTATCGAGTATTTCGATCGTGCTGGGCTGCATCGTTTTCTTTTCAATCGAAGCAAAGACTGCGGCCTTCTACAAAAATTTATCGAACCTCAAGGTCCGAGAAATGCTGTCATTCGCGCGATTTGGTCCCCCAAACTATGCATTGCGGAACGCCGGGTCACTATCCGGAGCCTAGACGATCGACGTTACGGCCTCTTCGAACGCGCCGTGACTTATGAAGGCGCAGACCATCACAGTCAGGCCACGCCCTTGAAGAGTCATGCCCTTTCTACGCTCATCCAAAACGTTTGTAAGCAGCTCGTGGACCACGTGGCGCTTGTCACCTTCCCGAAGCAACAGATCGCCCGGGCCGTCTTTAATTTCAAGGTCGATGCCCACGGTCGCCTCTATTTTTTATGGTCTTCCTCCATAAGACTGGAAGACGCGTCCATCGGCCCCGTGGCAGCTGCATCACCGCCATCGTCTCTTCTTGGGCAGCCACGGGGTGCGAAGCCAGGTTCTGTTCGCAGGGAGCGACGGAGAGACGCACCGGAGCGGCAACGAGGAGAACCGCAACGCGACCAACGACGGCAACCCATGAAGCAGAATCTCGTACAAGAAGGAAGAAAAGGAAGGGTTCAACGACGGGGGGATGCCCGCCCGCGGTCATCGTCCGGGTCGCCCCTTCCCACGCCCACCGACGCCGACGACGATCGCTTGCTAGACCTGCGGGCCCATGTGCGCCTCCCCTCCGACGTGCACCTGTTCGAGAAGGCCGCTTACCACCCCACGGACCCAGAGGCTTTCCCCTCGCCTGTCTTCACTCGCCGATGCCCCTCTTGCCACAGCCTGGTCCACCCCGACCGGTTGCATCCTGTCACGTACCAAATGGTGGCATGGCTCCACGACAAGGCGGAGAAACGTGCACGTCGGACGCAGACTCCAGGGGAGGAGAAGGGGGCAGAGAAGCGGTGGAACAAAAGGCGTGGAAAAGAGTGATTCAGGGCGTGACAACAAAAGGATAGGCGAGTCAGCAGCACAGCCTGAGGGCATGCCGCAGACGATTCCACCCTTACTATTGGCGCTACACCCGGAACTTGGCAACGCAGGGGTTGATGCCTACCAACGCTGGAAGGAGGACACCGCCTTCGCACAGGAACGAGTGAATGTCTGCGAAAATTGCTTCGTGCGCCATGCCGACGTTGCCTGCGAAGCAATAGGTCGACGGGCCCGCGTGCTTCCGTCCATCGCGCCGCCACGGTCCCTCGCACAATCGCAAAACTGGCCCATAAAAGACGGTAAAGTAGCCTCCAAAGTCAAATTACAACCGTAAACAAATATGAATACATGATTTGGAGGGGAGCTGACGGCTTCTCGATTTTATCGTTGCACGAAAGAGTCAATTTTTTACAAGTTTACATTTTCCTGCCGCCTCTTATTTCATCGCCCTTTTGAACAAGAATATACATGCCACCGTCCTCTCACAAGACAGAATCGAAAACCAAGTAAGACAGGATCAGTGTGGCTCGCCTACCAGAACATGCCTTCCATGTGCCCGCCATGCTCGATCATCCCCTCTCGATGTTTTGCAACTTCTCACTCACAATTGCCCCCTGTTCTCCTTATTCCTGCATGCTCGATCGCCAATTCCTCAAGCGCCAAGTCCAAACCACCACTGTTCTTTTCCTCCTCTTTCACATTCCATTCTTGCGTCGGCTTCTCCCTTCCCTTTTGCTCCTTTTCCCCCATTTCCACTTCCTTCTCCTTCCCACCACCTCCCAACTCCTCTTCTTCCTCCTCGTCCTCATCCTCACTCCACGAAAGTTCCAACGCGTCGGTCTCCCTCCTCATCTGCGCCAAACCCGTCATTTCCTCCAAGACCCCCTGCTCGTTGCAGACACGCAGCACTAGCCCCGCCCCCTCCCTCTTGTAGGCTTCGATGACCGCAGGAGCGCAGCCTGTACAATGCTGGAACGCCCTCGTCACTGGCAAAATCGTTGTGAAATGCGCCAAATATCCACGAATCTGCTGGGGTAAAATTCCCAACGGCCGGTCCGGATCGTCCAGAAAGCGATGCCCCAAACCGCTTGCCTCGCCCCCGTCGGCGGGTGCCCGATGCCTGAGGGGGTGGTGGAGCAACGCTACCATGAGTTCCACCGCCAGCGCAGAGGCTACAGGCGCCAGGCCGGGCCGCGTGACCGTGCACTGTTGATCGAGCGTGCGGTCTTTGGTCGAGTCGTCAGGAGCCACCACGTCATTGCAGAAATAGCAGCCAATGCCGTCTCCATCCGCCGGGCCGGGGCTTCCCTTCCCCGTCCCCGTCCTGGCTTTCGATTCCCGCGCAGTACCCCCATCCTCCCCGCCGCTGCAGGATGGCGCGACCGAGGTCAGGGGGGGATTCGGTTGAGCACCATGACGCATCACCATGAAGGTGTCAAAGCCCAAGGCCGCATTCACGAGGATCTTGTCGTGCACGGCCCCCAGGACGGTCGGCAACCATCGACTCTCCCGTGTGTCGGTAAGCAGGAAGATCACGTCGTGCTCCGCCACCAGCTTGTCCAACAACTCCACCTCCCGCCGCGCGCTTGCCTCTTCGGCCGGCGAGGAAACTGGGTGGCCCGGCATAGGGATGGTCATGACATGTCCCTCCGCAACCACCCCGGGAAAAATCCTCCGCAAAGCCGTCGCCGCCGCCAGGGCCTTGGGCTTTCCCCCGTCCGCGCAGTCCGTGTACTCAAAGAGGGATTGACGGACAGGGTTCGAGAGCGCGACCCGCCCGTTGTCCACCAGCGTGATCGTCCGCACGCCCCACCCAAGCAAGCCCCGTGCCACACTGCAGCCAAGGGTCCCGGCGCCTAGCAAGAGGCATTTGGTGCGGGCCAGGGCGGCGATGTCCAGGGCTGGGAGCAGCCGCCAGCGCATGAGCTTCAGATTCAGATCCACGGACTGCTCGGCCAGGCGGATAGGGTCCATGGTGGCAGAGAGGTCGACGCGTCGAGGCATGTATTTGCCTTTGTGCATCTCCCAGCCTGTGGTCATGAGGGCGCCGGGGGGGGAAGAGGAAGGCGAGGACGCCAGGGGCGCGAGGGAGACGTGCAGCACGAAGCTGCCCCGCATCACCTGGGCCCCTCCCAGGGGATTCAAGTGGCTTCCATTACCACCTGCTTCTGGATCATGCGTAGGCCCCGTGACCCGACCGCGGTAGCAGACGACGGTTGCCTCGCAGAGCCCCCACCGGTTCGCAAGGAGCAGCAAGAAATTTCGCAGGGGCCACCCCGGCGCATCCGGCACCGTTCCGGGGTCTACGTATCCAAACATCACCTGTTGTTGCTCTCCATGGAACCGATCCATCTTCTCGTAGGCATCCAAAGGGCAGACCTCCAGGGAGAGGGAGGAGGATCCCCCCTCCCGGTCGTCCGCGGTTTGGGGGGGGGGGTCGTGGAACGGAGGATGAGGAAGAAGGGAGGACAGGACGCGTCGCCCGTCTCCTGGAAGCGACGTTGACGGTACGCCAGCAAGCCCTGGTACAGAAGAGAGCACTCGGTCCCTGAAAAAAACGGGTTTCCTTCCCCTTGCCCAGCCTCTGCCAAAGGGGCGGGCGCCTTCAAGTGCCGGAAGGGCGGGGCACTGACCACCGCGGGAAAGGCGAACCAGTAGATGAAAACATTCCGTTTGATGTCCGCGAAGCACAAGGTACCGAAGCGTGCCAGGCGACCTGGATCCCTAAGCACGGCCGCGTCACGCCCCGGCTCCATGATATCCCTCCACACCTGTAGACCCAGACGGTCCATCCATGCTCGCTTATCGAAAGCCCTGAACGCCTCGTCCGTGTTGAAATTGTGCACCACCCCCGGCACCCAGCAATCTTTCGTCAAGTTGGAAGCGCGAGGGTGCTCTCCTTGCCCTTTCGTTCCTGGAGACGGTCCCGCTGCAATTATCTCGGCTTTGGATGCCAACCAAGACTCACCTCCGACCGAAAGCCGAGCTGGAATACTTGCGGAAGCCGAAGAATTCTGCCCCGTCGCGGTATAGGTCCCCGTAATGGCCAGGGGTTTCTGGTCTAAACCAAGTACGTCTACTTTTAATTTCGCCATTTCCTGCCAGAAGCTTGCCTGCGCACAGCTTGACAACTGTTGAAACATTACCACCGAGTCCTCAGGGCTATGATGCTCCTGCTCACGTAATGAGGATGGCTTGGTTGCCATGATGGCTCAGACTATATCGATCAATCCTGTGCTTGAATATCCCTTTTCGTTGTTAGCTTCGGAAGGCTTAATTTAATAGGGACCGCAACCCGTTGAAGCTCCTGTGAGAAGTGCCTTAATCATGCCGAAGAAATATCATTTTCGAAGGCAACATTGGATGCGCATTCCATGACATGGCGTATACAAGCACCGAGACAAAAATGTGCTCATACTCGGGTTCTGCACGTCACTTCCAATGTAGTGAGCGTAATTGAACATGGTGGGCCAAAAGGAAGAGCGAAACAGGCAAACCAGCCTCCCTCAAGGAGCAATCGACATTCACGTGCGGCCCCGTTTCCAGCGAAATACGTATGCAAAATTTCAAGAATAGGCCTTCCCAACTTCGAATAAGATTCTTGGGCATGGGATGGAAATGAGGGATGAGATGACGGTGGCCCAAAACTGAGTAGGCTGATAGCCAAATAATCTCGGGGTGGGGAGGTTAACTGCAGCCGTGCGAGTGGTTTTTATTTTCCTGTCCCCTATTGCTTTCTCGTCTGTTTCAGGTGAATTATTGGATAGCTTTATACTTTTTCAGTTTACAGCTAGAGATGTCGCATATAAGTTTTCATACATATGTAGATATCTAGGGATCGGCTCGACTTAGAGTGAAAGTCCGTACGATCAAATCGAAAATTAATGTACTAGGAATGATACATGACAAGAGAATGTCCACGAGTGTCGCCATGCATGATTTTTCCTTCAGCTATCACTTGTGTGAAATCCATGGCCGCGGCCTAAATGGTTACAGATTGAAAGGTCTGTTAGCTTTCAAAGTTCCCCCGTCGCAAAAGACAATCAACCCGCTACGGGCTCCTTGGCTTCAACGGGAGCCTTGCGCAGGATCTCTCTCAATTTTTCAATTCGCGTGGGCAAGTCTACAACGCTAGTGGCCCCTGTCTCCGCCAAATGCAACATCCTAATTTGCTCGCCTACATCCGGTCCACTCATGCGTCCCGTCAATGCGAGGCGGATAGGGTGAAAGAGCTGCTTTCCTTTCCTCCCCATTTTCTTACCAACAGCTTTCACCCACGCCTTCCATAACGCGGCAAAATCTTCTTCCTTTCCTCGCGGCATCTCGTTCGCTTCGAACGCACTCACCACTTCCCTGGCCATCTCCCACAAGCCTTCTGCTACCAAGGCATCCGCCTCCCCAGACGCCAAGGTTTCTTCCAAGGGGTACGTCAAGACATCACCGACAATAGTCGCCGCATCGTTCACCAATTCCATGGAGCCCTTCGCCACCTGAGTAGCGTATGACACAAAAGCCGCGCCTTCGGCCCCAACCTTGACCATCCCTTCCTCCTCCAAGCACGCCCCTACCAATGGCACCAAGTTCTCGTCCGGCAAGGCCCTCAGATGCTGCCCATTCACCCACCGCAACTTGGCCATGTCAAAGACAGAGGGGCTTTTCACTACCCGATTCAAGGAAAACCGGTCGATCAGCTCCTGTCTGGAGAACACCTCCTGCTCGGTCCCATCGTTCCAACCCAGCAGGGCCAGATAGTTCAACATGGCGTCAGGCAGGAAACCCTGGGCCCGGAACTGATCCACCGAGGTTGCCCCGTGCCGCTTGGAGAGCTTGGACCGATCCTCCCCGAGAATGAGCGAACAATGGGCGTACTTGGGTGCGGGGTACTTGAGCGCCTCCAAAATCAAACACTGCCGCAATGTGTTGGTCAGGTGTTCCTCCGCGCGAATCACGGTGGTGATACCCATCAAGGCATCATCCACGGCCACGCAGAAATTATAGACAGGCATCCCGCTCGACCGAAGGAGGATGAAGTCGCCCACCGTCGCGTCTGCGTCCCATCCCACAGTACCACGCACCGCGTCATCAATCTCCACCCGCCTGCCCGGGGCTACCTTGAACCGGACAGTATACGGCTCTCCTGCCTCAATCTTCTCCTTTACCAGTGCCGGGTCCGCGTCTCTCCACGTTCTGTCGTATTGAGGAGGTTTCCCGGCCGCCTCCGCCGCCTGCCGCTTGGCCTCCAGCTCTTCTTCCGTGCAAAAACAAGGGTAAGCATCTCCGGACTCCAATAGTTGCTGCGCCACTTTCTTGTAGACGTCAATGCGTTCTGATTGACGGTACGGTCCCACCGCGCCCGGTTTATCCGGCCCTTCGTCCCAGTCCAGCCCCAAAAAACGCAAATCTGCCAACATGCTCTCCTCGGATTCCCGCGTGGACCTTGCCGTGTCCGTATCTTCGATGCGGAGAACGAAGACGCCGTCCTTATGTTGCCTGGCTACCAGATAATTGTACAATGCCGTGCGAGCTCCTCCCACATGCAACGTCCCAGTAGGTGAAGGCGCGAAACGGACCCTCACAGCCGCCATCAACGTGGACATGCGGCGGGCAAACAAGGCATCGGGTGAGCTTTTTGGCTGATCAATCTGCTGTAAAGGCTGCTTAGTACTCGTTGGTGATCGGAATGTGCTAATTCGGGCCCTCCCTAGAAAGCCAGCAATGTTTTGCCTTCTACCGGCAGCACAGGTGATGCTGGCTAATGCGCGGCCTGAGCAGCAAGAAATGAGACCCGTCACGGTTAAAGTCATGAATGCAATCACCTTCATCCCTGCCAATGCTTTTCCAGTTGAATTTGGCGTGGGTTTGCGGGCGCGATGGAGTTTATTAGTATGGTTTGCAGTTCAACAACGGCTGAGTCGATCCTTGCTGCCGGCGTATCTATCGTGCAGGTGAAGGAGAAAGTACTTAATGATAATAAAGACACACATGAGCGGGCTAGAACCAGCTAAGAATTGCATCACTGAGACAAGACAACGGATGTAGGCCTCTGCGAATGCACACGACAGTCGTCTTTGTGGATCGGCAGCATGATATTGGTACTGAACGCTGCCTCAGTACTCGCTTACAGTGAGAAGGGAGATCGAAGACATAGAGGAGGTTGAATTGCGGCGTACGTCTAAGCAAGCAAACGAGTGTCAGCACGGCATGCAAAAAGGTAACTTCACTCATGAAGACAACATTTCTCAAAAGTTTAACATTTATTCCCAGGCTCGCAAAGCAAATGCACCAAATACAGAGCTTAGAGAGGGCAAGCCACCCGTTACTTCGGCTTCCCCGACAAACGTCGAAAGGGTGCCGATAAGCCACAGTCTTCTTATTCTATACCGCTACCGTCCCGTGGCACGGAATAGCATGATCTGGGCACGGCGTTTGCTACAGTCTCCTCAGTGGCATCGAGGTTCTTGGCACCGGAACCTTTTTTATCCCCTATCTCGGCTGGCCTTCACGTCAGCGGCCGGGAATCCGTCTCCCGAAGCTGCCACGCATCCCCATCAATATCCCTTAAAGAAGTGCCGTAATATTGGAATCATTGCACATATCGACGCTGGCAAAACTACCACCACGGAACGTATCCTCTATTTGGCCGGGGAAACGGGCCATGTTGGTGACGTGGACACAGGCGATACGGTCATGGATTTTTTGCCCCAGGAACGCGAGCGAGGCATAACCATCCAATCCGCTGCCATTTCTTTAGACTGGCACGATACCCGCATCAACATCATCGACACCCCGGGCCACGTAGACTTTACCATGGAAGTGGAACGGGCCGTGCGCGTCTTGGACGGTGCGGCTGTGGTAGTGGATGCCGTGGCGGGGGTTCAGGCACAGACAGAAACCGTCTGGAGACAAGCACGCAAATATAAGGTGCCGACGATTGCCTTCGTCAACAAAATGGATCGGGACGGTGCTGATTTTCCACGGGCCGTTCAATCTCTGCGTCGACGACTGGGCGCACCAGCCGTGCCCGTCCAGCTTCCCCTCGGTGCAGGCGGCGACTTCCAGGGAGTGGTGGATTTACTTACTATGGAGGAGGTGGTATGGGAGGCTCCCCAGACGTCCGGGACGAATCCGTCTCCGCTGACGCCTTCCGCGCCGAAATCCAAGCGGCGTAGCGTCTGTTTGACACGGCGGCCGCTGGCGGGGGGGGACAAGACGAAGGAGGAGAGGCTGATGGCAGCCCGGGAGGCGCGCGTCGCCTTGCTCGAAGCCCTAGCGGATGCGGACGAGACCTTCATGGAGACATACCTGGAAAGATTGGACGAGGCGGGGGAAGAGGGGCTGGGAGGGACGGAGCAACTCCCTCTGGTTACCGTCTTGGCCGCCATCCGTCGGGCCAGCCTGGCGGGTCTCCTCGTCCCCACGCTCTGCGGCGCCTCTCTGAAGGGGAAGGGGGTGGAACCTTTGCTCGATTCCATCGCCGCCTTTTGCCCCTCGCCCTTAGACCGAGACCCTCTGGTCGCCCATCCCAAGCGGGCATTGGCCGGGAGCCACCAGCCGCACACGGGCAAGAAATTTGTCATCCACCCCCAGGACCCCAATCTCTGCGCCTACGCTTTCAAGGTCACGCACCACCCGCAGCGGGGACTGATTGTCTACTGCCGCGTGTATTCCGGCACCCTCCACGCCAAGGAGAACCTGCAGAATTCCACGCGGGACGTACGGGAGCGGCCGTTGCACCTGATGGAGGTGCGGGCGGGAGACCTGAGTCCCGTGGAGAGGGTAGGGGCGGGGCAGATCGTGGCCGTCATCGGCTTGAAAGGCACGTTCACGGGCGATACCCTGGTTGCCTACAAGGGGCCCTTGCACGGGGCGGTCCTGGAGGGTATGGTCGTTCCCGCGCCCGTCTTTGCCTTGGCCGTAGAGCCTGTGAGCAGTGCGAAGCAAGGGGCTCTGGAAGAGGCGTTGCGGATCTTGGAGCGGGAGGACCCGAGCTTGCAGGTAGGTCGAGACGAGGAAAGCGGGCAATTGCTCCTGCGGGGGGTGGGGGAGCTGCACCTGGAAATCGTGTGCGACAAGTTGCGGCGACAGTACAATGTGGAGGTGGAAACGGGCCAAGCCTATGTGGCCTATAGGGAGGGGATTCTGGACGCGAAGGAGGGAGGGGGCGAGGGAGGGCCTCCATCTGTGACGACAACCTACGATCGGATGGTGGGGTCCAGGCGCCTGTTTGCCGCCCTGGAGATACAACTAGAGCCCCTGTCTGTCGGTGAAGGCCATGAATCCATGGCGCATGAGGCAGACATGGGAGCGATGGCACCGAGGGGGCAAAGTAAGGTGGCAAAGGCAGCCTCCACTGTTTCTGAGAGTGCCGCTCCCGTCATCCTTTTCAGCCCCGACGCTGTGGGAGTACTGTCTGCCGAGGAGCGAGAGGCCTTGGTGAGTGGATTGGATGGAGCCTGTCAGCGAGGACCCTTGGCGGGGTATCCGGTCACGGGATTCAATATACGGGTTCTACGGGTGGTGAAAGACGCCGACACCACACCAGGGGCCTTGCGTGCCTGCTCCGTGGCCAGCTTAGCGGCAAGCATGCAGGCAGCACGGGCAGTGGTGCTGGAGCCGGTGATGAAAGTGGAAGTTTATGCGCCTGAAGCGTCGTTTGGGGCTGTGCTGTCGGATTTGACGGTGGCGCGTCGAGGAATCGTGCGTGAAGTCGACGGACAGCTAGAGGCCTCACTGGTGGGCACGACCGTCACGGCTGGCAAACATGTGATCCACGCTGATGTCCCGTTAGCGGCCTTGTTGGGATATGCGACGGCATTGAGGTCCATCACACAGGGGGAAGGCGGCTTTAGTATGGAATTTTCGCACTACGCTCCTTCAACCTCGAGCTCCGTGGGGGGCGGTCGGGAAGGCCATGTCGGCAGGTGAAATACACGTAATACGTAACTTGCAGTACATGTCTAAACAAAGTAAATCAACGAGAATAACGAGTCAAGAACGTGTGCTACTGCTTGGGGAAGGATGTTTTGTAGACTATAGCATGTCTAGCGTTCGAGGCGCAGTCGAGCAGTTCCAGCATGTGCATGGACGGTCTTGACGCAAACATGTCAAACGAATAGATTTTAAACGATAAGCTACGCTGCAGTGCAATGTTTAGTCGGATGTGGACGACGTGTCGTCGCTTGTCGTCTTTTTCAGGTCGAGAACGGGTCACAGTAAGGGTATGCTCCCGAGCATGTATACGGGGCATAAAAACGTCACAGGCGGGTCGAGGCAGGGCGCAGCATAAGCCCTTCCTAGCTACCAGGACTCCTCCTTGGTCGATTTTGCGATAGAAACGACGCGACGAACAATCAATGCCACGCACAATGCGTAAATTACCCTCTCACACCCCTGGTCCCGCAAGAAACATGATTTTTAACCCAATGTCCGTGTCTCATTTCCCAGGTTCAAGACCATGGCGGTCCGGGAGGAATCGGGAGGGGGCGGCTTGAACGGTGTGCTGGGGGAGATCGACGCGACCTTGGGCGGTGATGTAGACGCATCCAATCTGGTACCTACTGCGTCCATGGGAGAGGCAAGCTTGACAGATCTGCTGCAGGATTTGTTGACGGAGGATCAACGCGAAGGGGAGGAGAGGAGGGTTTCTGACAGGGGGTCCAGAAGCGCTGCCGACGAGAATCTGTCTGCAAGAGCAGAGACAAGTACCTTGGACGATCTCTTGAAGGAAACCGGGCTGGACGATAGGGCTGAGGATTTCGAAGATATTTTTGGCAGCGCATGTGTGAACGCAGGTGGCTGTAGTGCGGGAGGCGGTACCAGGAGCAGTGTGGAGGTCGGTGAGACTGCTGCGTCGTCCCGCATGGGCGTCGGGAAAGAGGACTCGGCGGCGCGGACATGGCGGGACTTGGATGCAGCTGAAAGACAAGACTTCTTGAAGTGGCTGGAAGAGGATGATTGTACGCAAGGCTTAGAGGCACCTTTCCAAGTGCCGACCCGAACCCCCCCCATCGATGGCCTCAAGGACGAGTCTGTCGCCCATACCTCTGCTGCTGCGCTCCCATTTCCGCTGCCGGTATCATCACCTGGTGAGTCAAGGGCAGGGAGCGTCGGGATCTCTTGCTCATTCGAGCAGACAGCCGTTGACGTCTCCTTAGCGTGTCCTGCCTCTGCCTCTTCGGCCGTCACCCTTCCTAGCACGCCTAAGGACACCTTAGCGATGATTCGCGCCATGTTGGGAATCGAACACAAGGAGGAGGGAAGCTTAGACGGCGGGTATGGCGGTAATGAAGGTGGGGACGTCGCTGAGGCTTCTGCTGCCCAGACCACAGGGAGGGGGCTCCGCCCTGTTCGCCACGACGTCCCCCTTGGGCCGCCACTGGATGGCCCCACGCGGCTTAATCTCGAGCACCTGCAGGTTCTCTGCGCTCACTACCCGTACGGCCTCCCCAGAGATGTGAAAGCTTCCGTCTGGTCCCTTTGCTCCCTGCGACGCCTCCCTGGTTCGGAGGTACTCAGCTTGGTGTGCCCGGCTCCCTAAGGGGGGGGGGGAAGAGGGCCCGGAGGAGGAGGGTAAGCCGACCGACGAGGAGGAGGGTGGGGAAGGCAGGAACGCACAACCGAGGTCCGATCTGCCCTTATCGGCTTGGATCCGAAGGGAGGCCCAAGCCGTGGGGCAGGCATTGTGTGGGAAGGAGGGCGGCGCAAAGGGCCGCAGGGTGGCAGTGGGGGAGGAAATCGTCAGAGGCGTGATGTTCTATTGCGAGAACTTCCGCGTTGATTTCCAACCTGAAATGGCGGCCGCATACGGAGCACTGCTGGTGGTGCTGGGTTGGGAAGGCGGGGACGAAGGCGGGCTTCCCAGTAATGCGGAGGTCGTGGGGCGGTTCCACGCCTTCTGCACCTGGCTCCTCCCTCATCTGACGCTGCCGTCGTGGAGCCGCGACGGCCACCTCCAGCGCATGCACGCCGCGTTTCGACTGCTCTTGAACTACCACGCCCCGCTTTTGGTCCAGCATTTGGACAGGGGCAGGGCCGGGTGGGAAGCCCCTCCGGCTCGGTGCGGAGGGGAGGGGTCCTCGTCTCAGTCGTGGGGAACACAGGAACAGGCGCGGCAGGAGGCGGAGGTGGAAGGGATGGTGGGGGCGTTGGAAGGACGGTGGGCGAAGAGCCGTGACGCTGGGAGATGCGGGCGGCAGCCAGGGGTGGTTCCGGGCTCCGGCCGGGGAACAAGCATAGTGGAGGTGGAGAGGATGAAAGTTGCTTCGAGGGAGAAGAAGGATGCTGCCAATGACGGGGACAGCAACCACCCTGTGGCCTCCCTGCAAGAAGGCCCTTCTCCGTCCACGAAGGCCGGCCGCGAGGGTCACGGGAGCAGTGGCGACAGCGGAGGCATCGTTCCTAGCTCCTGGTTAATGGGCCACTGCCTTGGGTCCCCCCTCCTCGCTCCGCCTTGCCAACCGTCCTTGACGTCTCCCGCGTCATCCGCCGCGCCACCGCATGCGGAGGAGACAGGAAAGAGCCGGGACGACGAGGACGCCCTCCTGGCTCTGGTGGAGGCTTGCCTCCTGCGTGGAGACCGTTTCTATGGCCTTTTCCTCACGACCGCCCTCTTTCTTCGACATAAGACTGAGATTTTGTGCCTGCAAGGATCTGCTCTGCGCTTATACCTGGAGGAACTTGTGGCGGGGGGGAAGGGCATCGCGCAGTGTTACCAGCCGTCTTTGTCCGGCACTCCCTCTACCATGACCTCGACCTCTGCCTCTTCGACGGCTGTGGCCAGGTGGATGGAGGAGGCTGCTCGAGTGGACCGAAGCACGCCTATCTCCTTTCGGGTGAATCTGACAGCATCGGAATTGTTGAGTCGGGAGAAGGCTGCTTCGTTGCTCGGTAGCCCGGGTTCTGTGCCGGAATATTCTCCCCGTGCAGAAGCAGCAGATACACCAGCAACGACAGCAACAGCCATACCCGCAGGAGCAGATGCGACATCGCCCCAAGGGCCGGAAGGGGCCATGATAGGATTGCAGAAGGGCATCGGTGCTGAACATCCTCCCTCTGCGTGCACCCAGGAGCAGCGTGCCTACGATGTTGACCTCTCCTCCCTCACGCTTCCCCTCCAGCGGTTAATCGACGCTCTGAGCCCAAGAGTCACCGACACGGCCTATCCTTCACCCTCCACGCCCTCCTCGGTTGGCAGCATGGGTCCTCTTCCGAGCAGAAGAAGCGACCAGGGGCAAAACGTGGATACCGTCACCCTCGGGAGCTTCCGATGGGCTTTGGGTGGGCCGGCGCGGGAGGAGCGGCAGCTGCGACAGGCACGGGACGACGCGGACTTGATGGCCCTGCTGACCACTCAACTGTGTCTCACGGTCACACCGGAAGAGGCGGTCCACGCCCTGTGCCTGCCCAGTCAAAGTAGGCCAAACGCCTGTGTCAGACGGGACGCGCATAGTGAGGCTGCTAGCAGCGGCGTTACCGCCTGTTCCACCGATTTGGGCGCCCACTCTATTCCTAGCCACGACGGCAGTGAAGATCCTGCCGCTTTCCCCGTCGACAGGTTGAGCTCGTTGCGTTACCTGGCCTTGGACTGCCGGCCTAAGGAGCACGTGGCAATGGGACGCTTCCCCACTGCCTACCACGTGGACCCAAGCCGACTGGACGACCCAGAGGAAATCACGCGGTTGCTCGCCACGCTGGAGCCCTTCAAGGGGTCGAGACACCTGCTTTTGATGGGCACGGGAGCCAGTGGGGGCGGCCTGGCGCCGGCAGTCCCCAAAGAGGGGGGGGGGAAAGGCGCGACACCGGCGCAGCGATTTAAGGAGCACATGGCCTTGGCCGAACGCCAAGATATGGGCCACCTTCACACCGCGGCCCTTTTTTTGTTGAAACAGGGCTTTCCCTACGTCAGTCTCTTGCAGGGAGGGTTTGCAGCCATCCATGCCTTCTTATTGATGAAGACCAGAGAATCATCCAGGGCGTCTTCTGCCGGGTCTGCCCGTTCGTCCCTGACTTTGGCCGCCTTGATCGACCACGTGCCCAGTCAATGTCGGATGTGCAAACACGAAGCTCTCCTGCGGTTCCACAAGGCCTCCGGGTCGTCCAGCTTACCCCTGTCTCCTTCCCCCCCTGCCAAAGCCTCCCCGGGGAGCTCCTCCACCGGTCCGCGTTTCAGTCGTCCCTTGTCTTTTGGCGGGCACGCAGGCCCTGCCTTTGGAAAAGGAACGAGTGGGGAGACAGCTTCCCTCGCGGCTTTGTCTCAGCTGGGGCAGTCGTCTTTGGACGTGCTCCGTTCGCGTGCTACTGGCCTGTTTGGGAAGCTGCAAGCCCAGGGCCAGGCACACGGAGGGGAGGAAGGGAAGGAAGGGGGAGGATTGCCGCAGCAGCTCGAAACGGTGCATGACATGGGAAATTTTCTGAAGGGCACCATGGTTAGCCTGGGTAAACGTGCTGAGCAAGCTGTGCACGAGGCAAGATCCAAGGCTCAGGGGGCGGGAACGGGGGCTTCTGGTGGAGGAGGAGGGGGGAGGAGGGGGGGGGGTCAACCAGCGGCAAGGACTTTTCCTAGGTTTTCGAGTGCCAATCGATCTACCAATGAATGGGCTGGGCACCACCAGGTAGCTTCTTCAAGTGACTCGGCCCAAGGAAGTGTGCAGACAGGCGCCCCCCGGTCCCAGCAGGGAGAGGAGGGAGGCGCGTTCCTCTCTGCTTATGAAAACAAGCACTCCGCTGTTTTTGTGATTGAGGATGACGAAGGGGAAGACATGAATGAAGTGTCGCCTAAACAAAAGGGCTGCCCTCTGTCTGGCGGAAAGAGGGCGCTTGAAAGTGGACTGCTTTTCCCTGCACAGGCGTGCGCTTCGATGAGTCCGACCCTGGCACAGAAGACTCAGACCAATGATCTAGATCGAGAGCTCGCATTGAAACAGCACGCGTTGAATGGGCTTCAGAAAGGAGAAGAGGTGTCCATATCCCCCGAGGCCCTTCCCGGTGCTCAGCTTTTTTCTGTCTACAAACTTAAGAAGGGAGCGAGGTCTCCCTCGTCTTCCTCCCCCACATCGGCCACGGAATTAGCACGGTATATTGTGTTGACGCCAGAGAGAATCATTGTGCTCGAAGAAGCTGGGAGAAAGGCTAGAAAGGCGGGCCAGGGCAGGGTGAAATCAAATCATCATTTGACCGAGTTGGCCCGCATGACTTTCATGAAACGCGAACCTGACATCGTCACGCTCTACTTTCGGAACCCAGAGTGCCAGGCAGGGACGGAAGACACGGAGGCTGGCCCGCAAAAAAAGGAGAATTTGAAGGGACGGGCCTATCGGATCGGACAAAAGGAAGAATTTATTGCGGCGTTGCAGTTGCGACTGCAGCGATTTAAATGATGTCGGGAAATGGAAGATCTCTTGTCCAGGGGCTTGCGAGGGCGGTTTTGTAGCGAAGGGATAGAATTCAAGCCAGTATTCTGTACATAATGTGAAACTTAACAAATAACCGATGAAGAAAACATTGCGGTCCGTTCTGATGCCTTGCGGTGTCGATACCTGCTCCTCTTAAACATTTCAGTACATGCAAGCGAGACATTAATCACTGTTGTAACACTCTCTAGGAGCCCCCACCGCGTGCAATATACAAGAATCTGTCCATAGGAATAGGTTATCGATACCTGCTGGTGAGTCGATGGAACCTCGCTTTACACTTTATACGCACGCAGACATTCTCAAGTCCACTCCATCACCTGCTCTCGCTCAAGTCCTCACCCTCCCTCGATTCCTCCCATGACGATCGAGAAAACGGACCAGTCTCCCCAGTGTTCTCGCCAGCCGGCCCCACACAATCTTGAACAGAGGAATGCCGTCGCACGGACATGCTCCAGGATGAAGGACCATGGCCATGTCTGCCCCCGTGCCCGCCGCCTCTCGTCTCTTCTTATCCGTGGTAAGACTCTCCCCATCCTCGAAAGTTTTGTCTGCAATGTCGTCTTTGCTTGATTCATGTTTTGAATCGAAGCCTTTCCTGGCGTGCTCGTGGTTTTGTCGCTGCGCTTGCCTTGCCTGCTCTTGTTGCTGAAGCTGGCGATATAACTGCATTTCCCATTTCTGATGCTCCCTCTGCAGGAAATCTTCCACCTCTCGGGTTGTGAAGAGCACCGCGTTCTTCTCCGCTTCGAGCCCCTGCTTTTGAAAAACTGCTCTGGACTCCATGGAGCGGGCCCAGAGGATGCCTCCCAGTCCTCCCAGGAGGAGGACCATGACCAGCCCACACATGAAGACAGCAACTGGTTGCCTCTTCCACGCCCGTTTTGCCGCTTCCGTGGCACACGCCGAAAAACGGACGGGGGAAAGTTCACCCCATTTCATGACAAAACCCGCGCGACCCATCATGCCCATCATGCCCGTCTCGTGTCCTCCTCGCTCGTCGCAGGGGTCGCCATGGTTGGTGCTGCTGGCGCTGGCGACTGTCACAGAGCTGTCATCCCGACCCGGGTCTTTGTCCTGCTTCAGCGACAGCTTGTGGCTCTCTGATTTGTCGCCGCCACCCTTTCCTTCATTTTCGGTAGAAATAACAGGCTTTTGATAGTCATCACAGAAAGTCTCAGGGGACTCTGAAGCGACAGAAGCGGAGGCTACAAACGGGGAAGGAAGCGCCCCCGGCATAGGCGCATGAGATGTCGCTATTCCCTTGTTCAGGACTCTCTCGGAAGGCAGATTTGTCGGGGAAATAGTCCCAGTCCAAGGCACAGATGGGACGCTGCGACGGAGTTGTCGTTTGAGGGTGCTGACCTGCTCCTGGAGCTGTCGCTCTTCCCTTTCCATACCATCGTCCGAGTCCGAGAGCTGGCTGCTGGAACGGCTGCTTTTCTCTTTCGTGAACACCTTTTGTTCCTCCACACCGCGATTGCTACTCTTGAGATTCGGGGCACCAAATCCAAAACTGCCAGCACTTCGAGTCGCTCCTTGGGAGCCTTTTACACGCGATTGCCCAACGGTGCCTCCAGGCGCGCGGGGCAATCCCGGCCCACCTGACGCCGCGCCACGGGCAGCAAGCAAAAAACCAGAGGCAGCGGTCGGATCCAAGGGTGCAGTGTCCATGAGGAAAGAGGACGGGGAAGAGGAAGAAGGCACGGGAACATCAGTGTCCGAGTCGCTTCCGGCGTGGTTGTGATAATGGTAGTGGTAGGGAGGGAGCGGACCGTCCTTCTTCCCGGGTTGACGAGGACCGGACGTGGAAGTTACCGCGGCTTGTTCGTGGTCGGATAGCTCGTAAACCTCGAGCGAATTCAAAACGGAGGACAGGAGGCGGTTCCGGTTGGGAGTGTCGAACGTGTTCGGCGACGCAGACACTGAGCGAGGAGAAGCCGCTGCCGACGACGCCGCCGAGTACCCTCCCTTGCGCGAAGATGTCAAAAAATTGGCCAGATCATCTTCGTCGTCATGATCTTCTAGGCGGGGTTTGGGTTCGTGCACTGGTCTCTCAGAAGCCTTCTTCTCCGTGGATGGGATGGCAGTAGGAAGGGGAATTTTACTACTGTTGCTCGCGCTGGTTCTCTTGATAAAAAAGGAATGACGCCCAGGCAAGGCGCTGGAGTTAGAAACATTTTTCGACATTTCCTCGCCACTTTCAGGTCTGTCTTTGTGATCGATTGTTGAAAAGCAGATATGAAGTGTAGTCAACCTTTCTTATTACAGCAACCAGGTGGTGCAAGCTTGACGGGGATGCAGAGGGGGCGGCAATCAGCCAAAAATCAGATTCTGCACCGAGATGTGACAGACGCAAGGGAAATTTTTCACACTGTTGGTACCCGTGGGTATTTGTGGTTACACCTACATGCAAGAGCTCGAATGATGACAGTATGGGCGTATTTTTGCGCGGAAGACTTTGAATTTCAAATTGGGCGCGCAGCGGCCACTTTAAAAATCAAGATAAGTAGAGCATGCACATACTGCATGCTGCTATCAATAAATTCCCCCCAATTTATTCAAAATAAAGCGGTTTGATTCACTGGGAGCAGGCACGGCTTAAAAAGTGCCTGTGGGACATGGGCCACGGCACCGGGGCAAAGGGGAGCTTATCGCTTTTGGGGACATTATGTGATATCCTAGGCCGTATTCCATCATCCTCCTCCTCCACCGGGGAATAAATCAGAATATTTTGGTCCTCGGCATCGGTCTATTCGGTATCCTAGCCAAAGCCAGGTCACAACCAGGTTCGGGTGCGCGGTGGAGAAAGCTTGCTTGCCGTCTCGCGGTCTTATCCTGATTTCGGGACGGTTTTTTGTTCCAGCATTCCTACACATTTACTTTTCTCAAGTATAGTTCACGTGCTCGACGTGGGTCGTTGGAGTTTTTGCGCGGGGCACCGCGGTTGAATCTGATGGTTAAGCTGTGAGACTTGCCTCGTTTGCTTATCTTCTCCAGGGGCGTGCGGGGGACGCTCCTTTAGCCTCCATTGCTCGCCTTTATCGGGCTGCGTTTTTGCTTTTAAAAGAGGCGAGCTTTTTTTTTGTTTCTTTTCTTCTTGGCTGTGTTTCGTGGAGCTGCCAGCATGGTTGGTCGCGTGGGTATGTAGAGATATTTATCCGTGACCTCTGCCCTCTCTTCTTTGCCCTCCGCACCCCTCATCACCCTCCACCTCCTCCATCTCTCAACTGATGCGCTTCGCGTTTCCTTTTCCAGGTGGTTGAAATAAATTTGTACGCTAAAAAGTTGTCTGTTCGCTTTCATACATGATGGATAAAACGAACGACTCCTAGTTACCACCCTCGGCATCCCTCTCTTGAACCACGACCCCAGGTGAGTGATCGTTTCTCCTCCAGATAAGGGGCCTTAACCCTGTTTCGTGGCACTGCCTTCTTGAAATACCTCCCAGATCGGAAAATGTGCAATCACGAAGCATCCTTATCATTAGGTATTATATTGAAGCCATGCTGAATCATTTTTAGGCTATCTGACGCTCACTTCCTTCCTTCCCAGACTATACCTTCCCCACTCTGTCTGGCCTCATCACTCCGTCTTTCTCTGTTTACACTGGAGCCACATACTTGGTTAAGGCTTTCGTGATGCTCGGAAAGCAACTGAAAAATACTTGACGGACCTGCTGTCTATTTCCCTCGACTTTTTGGCTCACACACGAGACCTCTTCCTTCACCTCCTCCTTCAGACCCCATGGAGGCAATCTTCAAACGGCTGCACGTCATTGGTCGTCAGGAGGTTGGGCTCATACTGGGAGGCGTAGGAAAGGTGCCTGATGGTTCACCAGCCCGTGAAGAATGTGCGGAAGCCAACATTCCGGAGGCCTTCGGAACAAGCGCGGATGGCACGTTGATGCGGACCCTGCAGGAATTTAGTTTTTACATGGACGACGGTGTCCCGGCGCCCATTGAAGCATTGGATGACAAATTTAGGTATTTTTTTTGGGGTGGGGTGTCTTGTCCTGTCTGCGGAGAAAGACCGGACAAACAGCTGGCGGGAAGCAGGGACGATGTGGCGCCCTTAGCCTGATCCTTACCTCCCTCGCTCCCTCCCTCCCGTGTCTTTCTTCACAGCAAGAGGAAAATAAAGGCTTTTGGCACGGTGCTTCCTGCAGACTACGTCGCTCCACCCCGCAAGGAGAAGAAGGAGAAGGAAGGCAAAGATGTGGGCCTAACGCCGGCAGCGTCCGGTTCCTCCTTGACCGGGGCGGCTTTCGGGGGGCAGGCCATGTCTCCGAACCCAGCTCCGTCTCTGGCAGTGGCTGGGGCTGGGGATAAAAAGCGAGGTTCGGGGTCGATTCGGTTGAAGATTCGCCTGAGGCCCGAGCACATGGCGGGAGGTGCTGGCGGAGGCGGGGAAGGAGGGGGAGGCGACGGAGCGGCCATGAAGCGGCTGCGGGTACTGGGGGAGGAGGGGGCTTCCGCACAGCGAGGGCGGTCCATGGAGGAGGGGGAAGACGAGGGGGAGGACGGGAGGGAGGACTGGGACTCTGTGGGCTTGCGGGTCGTGATCCCGGAAATCACCGAGTGGTGCATTGACTACGTGCTAGGGGGAGAGGCGGTGCTGTGGGTGGTGTCGTCCGCCGGCGTCTGGTACAAGCTGTCGGGAACGTCCTTTTCGTTCCTCCACCCCCACCCACTCTACGCGCGGATGTACCGCTCGGCGGGGAAGAAATTCAAACTCTGTGCATTGACAGCCATGCATTTGGTGAATGCCTACCGGGAAAAACCGACGGGGACCTACCAGGAGATTTTGGAAGTGATCATTCGAGAAACACAGGGAAAAGTGAAGGAGAGCGCCCTTTTGGAGAACGCCGACTTTGTCGGGAAGCAGATGGCGGCACTGAGTGACCCGGCGGGCGGAGACGCAGGGGGCAGGACCTTCGGGCGATGCTCGTTCATCGAAGGTCTCAAAGCGAAAGCGAGGGCGCAGGGTACCCGGCCCATCACGAAGAAGGAGAGGGATAAGATGGCGAAGGAGGTAGGGAAAGTGTTGCGGCAGCTCATCCAGGGGTGGGTGGAGGGGGGTAGGGGGCACGGGGGGGGTGAGGGAGGGGCCGAGGAAGAGGTGGGACGGTGGGAGCACCCGGCGGGCTCTCCCGGAGGCATGGAGGACTTCTTCGGACAAGGAGAGGGACTCCCTCTCAAAGGAGGAGGGGACAACTACGCCGTGGTGTACCCGGGGCAAGCAGGGGGTCCAGGGATGGAGGGAGGGCAGATTACGGGGCTGGAAGGGGCTAAGCCCTCGCCATTGCCTTATCAGGAGGGGGGGTTCCTGGGAGAATCATCGCATGAATGGGAGCACAAAACTGCGATGGAGGAACACGAATTTTACGAGCCTTCATACCAGTATCCAGAGCCGTCGCCAAACAGCAGCCCAGGCGGTGGAGGGATCGCTCCGGACGAGGCGGGAGAAGAGGAAGAGGAAGCAAGCCGGTCCTCCACGACCATCAAGCTCAAGATGCGGACAGGTCCTGGGCATCGGTACCGAGGTAGCGGGGGTTGGGAGGGCGGGAGGCGGGACGGGGGGAATCGATACCCTGAGGGGCGACCCGAGGTGGACGATCTGGTGCTGTTAGGGGAGGAAGCCCAAGTCCCACGGCCTCCGGGCCAGCCTGCCTCCTCCCTGCTCCCTGCGGCCCTTTTTCCCTCCGTATTGACGGCGTGGAACACCCTCCAGCTCTGTGGCCCGGCCACCCTGCGCCTGAGCCCCTTCCCCTTGTCCTGGTTGGAGCAGGCGGTGACCACCACTGTGAAGGGGTTGATCCCCGATTTGATTCAGGAGACTTTTCACCGGCTCCTGGCCGTGGTTTTGAATGATCGCAAAGACCCAAGCCGACCGGTTTCCGTGTGTGTGCTGGGAGAGGAGTATGACGAGGAAGAGAAAGGAAGCGGGGGAGGGCGGGAAGGAGGGCGGGAGGGAGGGTATGGTATGGGAGGAGAAGGGGGAGGATCACGAATGGCCAACAGGAGCGTGGAGACGCTGGAATCAGTGTTGTATAGGGGCGCCCGCGCGGAGCAATTGCTGCCTTACGGGTGGCAGGAATTGACCCGCCTCTTGATCGCGGAGCGTTTTCACCTGCCCTTGGAAACGTACTTGGACCCGCTGGGTGAGCTGCAACGATTGTTGGAAGACCTGGCGCAGGGAAACAAAGCAAGCTTGCCATTCTTCCACCGCGTGGATCCAGCCAAGGATGACATGCCGGGTTACGCCTCGATTGTGGAGGAGCCCATGGACCTGGGGACGATCGTGCAGCGGCTCAAGACTGGTTGGTACGAGGAAGAGGCAATCCATCGAGGGAAGGTCCTGGGGGAAGGAAAGGAAAAGGAGGAGCCGACGCAGGCGAAGCAAAAGGAGGAACAAATGGGGGAGGCCGGAGGGGAAGCCCCGAAAGAAGAGGAAAACGGACGCGAGGCTGCTGATCCTCTGCCCGCAGGAAGTGGCGTGGAGGATACGGCCCAAACCGTCCCCTCAACGGCTGCTGCAGGAGAAACGGTGCCTTCCTTTGGATCGCGGGGGCTCAGCACCCGTAGCAAAGGTCGGGGGGCAAAGGGTGTGTTGGATGATGTGCGTTTGGTCTGGGTAAACTGCGAACAGTACCACGGCCCCGATGCCGCGTTGACGGAAGTGGCACAGGCGCTCTCGGAAGAATTGGAGGAAAAAATTCAGACACGGGTTCTGGAGCCGTTGGAGAGACGGGCAAAGTGGTTGGCAGGTGAGGGAAGGAAGGAGGGAGAGGTGGAGGACGGAAAGAGGGAGGAGGAAGACAGGGTTTTGGGCCTTGGCGGGGACGGGGAGGGGGAAGACGGGGGAGTCGCGGCATCCACGACGACGGAAGTGGGGAGCAAGCTGACTTCCAGCTTAGGCTTGGCTAGCGCTCCCGACATCCAAGGGTGGAAAACCGTGGTGGATCAGTTGGGGCGATTGACCTTTGCAGAGCTGCCTGTCAAGACCCGAGTCATGGTCCTGCGATGGCTAGCTGACGAGGTCGCATCCTCGGCCACAGTCCGAGAGTTGCTGGAAAATGTGGCGGGAGCCCGCGAACCGTACCGAAAAATGGCAGCACGTAGGACTGCCTTCCGTGCGCAGAAGGCACATATGGCTGCGCAGCAACAAGCCGCTCAGGCATCTGGGTACGCTCCCCCGCCAAGCCCGGCAAATTTAGAGGGTTGGACACAGGCGGACGAGCGGGAGTTCCTGCGCGTGAGTGAATTGGCCTTAAAAGATCTGAGGCTGCGGCCCTTGGGTGTGGACCGGTTTCATCGCCGGTATTGGACGTTTCCAGGGGACAAAAAGCACGCGGTGTACGCGGAGGACGAGGCTGACGGGCCGGTCACGGTTGTGTATCGGAGCAAGGTGGACCTGATTGCCTTGATTCGGTGGCTGTCCGACCGCACTTTAAGAGAGGGCGCCCTGCGGAGCCGAGTCATTGAACTTACGGAGAGATATTACCCGGATGGTCCAGATTTGACCCAAGCTATAAACGTCCCCTATTCTCCAGTCCCGAACGGTGAAGGGGCGGTGAATGGAAGGAAAAGCACAGAGTCAGCGGACGCATTTTGTCGCTACCAGAGCGCATACGCTGGAGTCAATCTTCCCTCAGAACAACAAGCCATGATGCCTGACCTGTACAGATATATTTGCTACCCCTTAGGGATCACGGCCAGGGAGCGAGGATGCCTGGGGCTTGTCTACGCTGATCAGGAGTTGAAACTGACGGCGTACCGTGACCACAGGCAGAATCTGGTCCGCACCCCTCCATTTCCGCGAATGGGGATCAACGTGGACGATCGCATCGTCCTAGTAAATGGAAAGCTGATTGATGGGCCGAAATGGCCCTCAGGGGCAGTCGAGGACGACAGCACTCTGGTCCACCTGCCAGGCGGAGAGACGGAGGAGTTTCAACTGATGATTTTGCGAGAGGCAGGGGGGGCGCAGACTTCCATCAACGTCCAACAGCTCCCTCCACGGGTGACATGCAGCGAGTGGAATTTCGTACAAGGCTGGCTTTTGCATTTGGAACGGGAGATGTGTCACCCATTGGCCATCGGCCCCGACTGGGAGGGAAGTGGAGCCAAGGCACGCTGGAGGCAGATGGTCATGCGCGCGCTGGATGGGGAAAAGAAGAAGGCGGAAAGTCTGAGGAAAGCCGCGCTCGAGCTGGAGGGGAGGTTGCGAGCATGCGGCACCGTCTTGAGCAAAGAGGATAGGGAAGGGCGGGCCAAGGGGACTGGGGGGAAATGGCGGCAATATATGAGTTTGGCTCAAACGCCCTCGCAGTTACTCTTGGGCTTGCGACTCCTTCATTCCCTTCTTGACCGGCGTGTCCTCAACCGGGCCTTACAATCCATGGAACGCGCGGCGTGGCAGGCGCTGTTGCCCAAGGAGAAGAGCATCGAACTTCCCGACGTGGGCTCTTTTGTCATCTACTACCCGCAGGGACACAAAGCAGCGATGCGACACAACGCCCGCTTTCAAGGCCCCATGTGGAATGTGGAAGGACCGCACGAGGAGCAAAATGGGGCGGCTGCGGGAGCGGGGGCAGTGCAGGTGTGCCAGGTGCACGGCATCGAATACCACGCCTTCGACCCGACGGCCAAGGATCCTTTTGCGTCTTCTGCTTGGGCAAGAGTCAAGTTGGCGCGTCTGAACGAACCAGCTTACCACTATTTTTACCCCGAGAGGAAACTTCGCCTGTACCGTCCTGTGGAACCGCGCGCCTCACTGTCCCGCCTGCTGGCACGGGTGGTGTTGTCTGCGATGGAGCTGCGAGAAGCGGATCAATTCTGCGAGCCGGTTGACAGGAACGAGTACCCGGATTATTACGAAATGATCTGGAACCCCATGGATTTCACGACCCTATTGTCCAGGGTCCGCCGGCATATGTATGGCGAGTTGTCAACATTCCTGAAAGATCTGGAGCTGATATCACGCAATTGTCACGCGTATTGTGACGCACGCTTCCCCACTCTTCCTGTTCTCGCTGATCAAGTAGTTGGGGTAGCAAAGGAGACTGTCAAGTACTTGGAGCCCAAGATTCGCAAGGCGGAAAAGGAGATCCGTGTTTTGTGCGAGCGAAGTAATTTCAACGACGTCATCCCGTACGTGAAGAAAGAGGCGCCGCTGGAAGAAATGTTTGTCTGCGACCGATCCAAGCCTCCTGGAGGCAACCGTCCCAAGAACAAGGCGTCTGGGAGAACGACACCGAACGCGTTTGGTGACGCGTCCCCGTCTGCTTCAGGACATGCCACACCCGTTAAAGTGGAAGGAAATGGCAGCCAAAGTGAAAACTCTGAGGGTCAAGGAGAGGCGAGACCACGGCCATTCACGGAGTCCACCGCACCGTCAACACAGGCGGCCTCGCCCATGGTTGCCACTGCTCCCTCCCCCTTATCGTACCCTGCGGCTACCGCCCCTCTCGTTCCCTCTGCACCCGCTACTGAAGCGTTCCCATCACAAGCCTCCCCGTCGATCCCACCGCCACAAACCGCTGGGTCGTTTACGCATGCCTTTCCAGCGCCGGCTAACGGGCCCACTCCCCCTTCCTGTTCCTCTGCGCCTGCCCCCACCCCTGTCCCTGCTCCTGCACCTCACCCATCCTCGCTTCCCCAGCCGCAACCCACGCCGACCAACACCGGAAATTCTTGGCTACCGCAGCAGCATCCACAACAACCTCCACCACAACACCAGCCCCAGCAGCATCAGCAGTATCAGCATCAACCAGCATCACAGCCGCAGCAGCAGCAGTATCAACATCAACCAGCATCACAGCCACAGCAGCAGCAGGTTCAGCCACCCCGTCCGGTGGGAGTACCGTATCCAGGCGGCGGCCCCCATCCAACCTCAACTTCGGCCCGCCCCGCGTATTCCCAGCCCTCCGCCATTCCTCCTGCGCCCGCAAAGCCCTCCACTTCCCACACCCCTTCCACGGCGCCTGTGTCGACCTTGGCGCCCGCCACTGGTGCTACGATGCCTATGGGCCCCGTCCCCGGAGGGGGGCCTCCCAGTGTCTACGGCACTTACGCGGGGCAGGGCGCCAGGCCTCCCCCCGGCCCAAGCAGCGGCTATTATAACACATACTCCCACTCGTACACCCACCCCGCTCCTCCCTCCTCTGCCCCTTCCACCTCCGTCGCGGGTGTACAATCTAGTGCCCCTTCTCCCTATGCAACAGGCTATCCCTACCCTCCCAGTCATCCTCATCCTCAGGCCGGCGGTGAGTCCTCTGCCCCCCCGTCTTCCTACGCTGCACCTGGATATTCGTATCCAACCTATTCGACCGGCTCGGCACCCTCAGGGGCTACCGCTTATCCAGGGTACCATGCCCCTCGCCCACCGCCGTCCTCCACCTCGTCCTCCTCCCAGCCGGCCACCGGCACCTCGAGCACTCAAGCTGCCTATCAGTACGCTCATCCCCACCCCGGGACTGCTACTTACCAGCACCTCCCCCCTTCCTCCGCCCATGCCCCCGCTTATCGCGCCCCCGCTTATCGCCATCCGGAGCATCCGCAGCAACAGCCCCCCCCCCACCAGCAGCAGCAGCAGCCGCAGCCTCAACGCAAACCGCAAGGAAGTCCAGCAGGGACACCTGCGGGTCAACATCCGCCACAGCAGCCACCGCAGCAGATGGCGACACCGAAAGTGGTGGAGACCTTTTACGTGGGTGTCTGGCTTTTGAACTCCGTGCCTGAATTCATGGTTTCTCGTCCACGTTACGAGCAAGCTCTGAAGAGGACTTGGCGCAAGGAAGATCGCTTCGACGCGTGTTGGTCGTCGGAAGATGTCGGAGAGGAAGGGAGCGTGTACAGCGGGACGGTGATTGGGGCAAGGCCGCCGGATTCGGTCACGGGCCTCTTGCCCTGGACGGCACTGCAGATGGAGCGGGACAGCGGGAAAGTGGATTTCGTGAACCCTTGGAACATCGACGTCTTGCCCTCCGACGGCGGCCCGGTGGTGCCGGGGGGCAAGTTGGAGTATCACGGTATGTACGACTTGTACAAGCACCATCACTCCCTCTTGGACCGACCACGAGACCCGGAAATGAAAGACGCGGGATTGAATGTCCTAGGGCCACGGGGACCAGGGGTATACGCCCCGCCTTCCTACTCCTACCATCCCCAACAGCAAGCGTACCAAGACCATCCGCGCCACCCGCCGACAGACAGCGCAGCAGCCGGGGCTCAGGCACAAGGCTATGCAGCATATCCTTCTTATCCCTATGGAGCATATACTGGATATGCGTATGGGTCTGTGCCTGGAGGGTACGGCTATCCGTAGTGGATTTGTTGTGTAAGAACAGGGAGGGTATTGAGAGCTGCACACTACCGCACTTCGTCCTAATAAACTCCATGCCGTATGGTGAAAAGGACGAAATATGTTGTGTGAAAGCGCTGCGGTTCTGAGGAGCTTAAGGTATATCTGCTGCTCTGTCTATGATGATCGGCAACATTCCATGATGCAACTACATGTAAGCATTAACGCACAGCACAAAAGACAAATTGACGACAAAGAAATAGGAAACGCGGAAATTTTCAGCTATTGATGGGTATCAATTTTACTTGCTTTAAATCTTATTCGGCAATGTGGCGAATTGTGTGAAAGCGTACTAGCTTCATCACTCATATGGGCGAGGAAGGCTGCGATGGGTATAAATTGTAACAGAGATAGCAACTTGATAAGCGAAATACAACTCGATGCCCGTAACTCAAAAGAAGGCAGCAAAATTGTAGAAAATCGTTCTACAGAGAATGTTAGACCCCCGAGATTCTTTTCCACCCCAAACACACCAGAAGAAAAGAAAATCGGTAATTTGCGCTTTTTTTCCGGAGAAAGGGCGGGCTGGTAAGATCCTTCTTACTGAGCAGAGATTCGCCGAGCAAAGCCCTGACGATACCAATATCTGTACTCTGGAATGCAACGGCCAGGAACACGGCCCCCGCCGACGAGGTGGCGGTAACATAATGTGTGACTTTTTCTTTGTGCGGCTCCTGGAACCGACGCGCTACCGTGGGAATTCCACCTATACCCGTGGCCGAGACTTATTGCCTGAGCTTCCCTCCCAGCGAGGATGAGATCAGCTGTCGGGGCTGAAATATGCGGCCATATTTTGCATCTCGCATATTTGCCAGCCAGGGTGGATAGATGTTGTCCACATAACATGGGAATTCCATCACACAGATTATTAGACCACGACGCGCTCTCACACTGTTTTTGTTGGTTTATTTGCTTCACGCAGGCGGTGCGAGGAGGTTAGTGACCGCGGTCCCCCAGGTCACCGCACGTCATAGAACTCGCAAGCTCAAGTAAGAGCAAAAGCGGTGCAAGAATCTCTTCCTAAGCCTATGCCTGCATCCTCCACAAGGTATACTTCCCTTTCCATGATATTCTGTATACTTTGGTCGGCAATGTACGGGTAAAAGTGTTACTGAACAGTTTGGGGAAGCTGATCCTATCTTCGCATACATCACCTAAACAGCGTTGTAGTCGAGCAAGAATATCCATCAGCTCTCAGGTTACAATCGCTTCCACATCATGCAACACACGACGCACCTTCACGACATATTGTTCTGACACCTTCGCCTTGTCGGGAGGAAGAATCACTGGAATCGAAGACGGACAAGACGCGGCAATTAAGATCGGCAGACGAGGCCTCCGGGAAAGATGAAGAAGAGGTAAGCTATTTTGCCCTGATGGTTGGATAAAAACGCAAGAGAATTGGCCTGCGTAGACTTCAAAGTTTTGGTTAGGTTGCGATAGTAATTTAGCTGGAGAGCGGTCCATCAAAATGACTTTCCTGAGATTCGGAAGTTGAGGCGGTATATAATTGGTATTTGGCAGCATAGCACGTGGTCAGTCCTAGGCACTTTCTCCGACCCTTTCAATAATTTCGATGCATTTCATATGTTTCAGGGAGAAGTGCGAATGACATAGAGCACGGAGAGGCAGTAGTTCCTTGCCTTCTTTTGTAATCATCCTCACTCGACGGTCCTTGGTTGCGATCTTTCCTCGCAGGTCTCTCCATATCCGCTTCCTTCCCTTAAATCCCGTCGATCCGTGAGCCGGTCGAGCGATATTGATGTAGCTTCTGTCTGTATCCCTTCGTATCGAGCCACCGCGAACTCAACTTCTGGATCGGGCCCCGTCATCTTCGAAATTCTGGTGAAGCCTGCGGAGCGCTCTGATGCTTGGACAGTGTACAGGTAGGGCCTGCATTCTTTTCCTGGCTCCTTTTGTTAACTGGTAACATCGATTGATTTGTACTGAGGTTCCTCTTTCTGAACCTCGTCCTCTGCACTCCCCGAACGAACGGCGTCAATGCATCCTTATCCAAATGCTTTCATATTTCTCCCACCCTCCCAGGCGATTTTCCAATTTTGTGACTCTCCACCTGGCATTCCCATCTGAGCTGACCGCTTTGCTTCCACCGCTTCCACCCAAGCGTTGGTGGCCTCTCCATTATCTCCGACCCTCCTTATATCCATCCTTTCTGGAGGAACGGCGGGCCTCACTGGAGAAGTACCTGGAACAAGTAGTGGCGAATGAAGAGCTCCGACTTTCCGCGAGTTTTCGAGAGTTCATTGGGTTGAAATTGGGGGTTGACAGGAGCAAGGAGGGAAGGAGCCGGGAGGGGAGAAGTATAAGTGTAGTTGGGGGCGGAGAGGAGGACGGGCTCTGGTTTTTGAGAAACGAGGCCTTGAGAGAGGCAGAGACCGAGGCTGAAGCCGACGACGAGGAGGAGTGCCAAGGTTTGGTTTCTTTCCCGTACGTGACTTCACGGTCGATCCGGGGGAATTTAGGAGGGGGAGGACAAAGAGGGCTCTCTGGCCACGGCATGGAGGGGCAGGCACGGAAAGAGTGGCGGCGGACATGGGTCTCCAAGACGTTGGATCCGCGGGATCAGCTCTGGAACCTTTTCAAGAAATCGACCGCGAGCCCACTGAGTGAAAGCTCGAGCAGGCGAGGCGGGATTTTTTCGACCGGGACTGTGCCCTGCTCTGTCTACTAGTCGCGAAGTACTCGTCGTCTTGACGGAGGGATTATGGCGGTCTGGTCAGGATACCTGCTTCTGGTCTACATTTTAATATATATATATATATATATAGATAGATAGATATATATGATATGATATCTAGAAATTGCTCGGCGAGAACAAGGCGAAAAGTCGCCTTCTCAACGGGCTTCAAATTTTCTCAATTCGGCGACCGGTGTAAGAGCAAATGCACGAAGGAAGCAACATTGTTGTTGCAGCAGAAAATCTTGGAACGTGGATTATCCAAATAAAATGTTTGAGCCCAGACGACACGTGCATGCAAGCGATTCAAAAGATAGCGAGAGAGAGACAGAAATGATCAAGGAACTGGAGAAATACTCAAGTGTGAAATACACCCTAGAGTGTGTGCCTATGGATGCAAACAGTCGGACATGACCAGTCTGTCATTTCTGAGTACGTATGCAGGGGACACATATATGTACAGGTTGGACTGGCCAACGCGAGCGATTTTTACGAAAACGGCTTTCAGAGAAAGGGTAGACATGGTAAAAACTACTAAAGCATTTGGTTGCTGGTTCTGGCCGGTGCGAGAACGGAGGGGTAACAAGGAAGTTGGAAGCGTGGCAGGGGGTTGAAGCACGCCCTTGATCGGTAAAGGAAAATTTTGGCATGTCCGTACGAAAAGGCGAAATGTGGATGTACCCTTGGAGAGGGTGCTGGTTATTACTTGGAAAGCGTCGAAGGGCCATCTGTGCATGGATGACAGCGGGCATTGCTTATAGGAGATTCACATCTGAAAAGGGATGGCTTTGGTCGGAAACGCGTACAGTGCGGGAGCGGTGAGGCCGGGAGTGTATGCATCCTGCCTCCTGGCGTCTTCCGTCCGCTAATTTTTGTTCACAAGGTAATTCATCTTTGAAATCTCGTCCTGTACTCAATATGCATGACAGGGCATGATATAATGGAAGTGGGTCATTTGTCAAGCAAGTTGGGGGATAAGAAACTGCTCAGAAGGATCATGCTTAGGTAGATTCCTTTTCTCATTTCTCTTTTTCGGAACTGCTCGTGGCAATGTCCCGTCTTATCCGGGTGAGCTTCTTTTTCCTCCCTTCGCAGCATCAGTAGCCGTATTTAACGTTTTACCCCACAGATCATCTCGTATGCATTTTAACAGGCAGTGCTGCGCTAGCAGCACTCGCAACAGACACACGAGTCTGATGACATCCGAGTTGTCTCATTCTCCACCCCTCATGGATACTTATAGATACTTATGGATAAACGAAATCTCCCCACACTCAGCAACTTCGCCATGTAAATAAATGAAATAACGCACTTGTGTAGGTTTTAACTTACACAAAGTGCGAGCACCTGACACTTGCGCTTGTAGCTTCAACACATTTCCAACTTTTCAGGAGGACAAGTGTCAACCATCAAAGCGCGCAAAATCGTTCTGTTTCCTATGGCTGAGCGCCTGTCGAATGTACCCCGGCATAGTACCCCCCTTCTGCTTCTTCTCCGCGTACCCCCCCAGACACTTCTCCCCCGAAATGTCCGTACAAGGCAAAGGCAACTTGACTGCCGAATCCTGCTGAGAAACGCAACGCATACCGTGCCGCGTATTTTCCCCCTCTCCCCAGATTGATGCTCCCCAAATACGGATCTGTGCTGGCTTCATCCAAATTAGCAACTCGAGGGATGATTCCCGATCTCAGGATCTGCACAGCGGCGATATCCTCGAAGGAGACGCCCATGGGATGTCCTGTGTATCCCTTGGTATTCAATATCACCAAATTCTTCATGCCCTCCTCTCCGAAACATGTGCGCAGGGCAAAAATCTCGTTAGCGGCGCAGGAGGACGCATCTGAGGCATGTGTACTTGTTTCATGCGAAAGGTAGACCCCCTCTCTGGCAATAGCCTGTCGAGTGATTCCAAACTTCTTTTCCAGCGCCACCAAGAATCGCTCCAACTCCCCAGCAATGTGGTGTTGGTCTAGCGCTGCCCCATGGTATGCGCTATTACTATACTGCGTGTCAATCAGCCGAATGCGTAAGGCGAGGCCGAAGTCCTTGATGTGCTGCTCGGAAATGGTCGCAGTCGGGCCCGAACGGGAGGCCAGGGAAGAAGCAGATGAAGTTGTTGAGGCACTGCTGCTGTTTCGCGTCAAAGAGAGCGATAAGAGGCCCGTCTTCTCCGCGTATCGTCGAGCGACAGCCGCCTCAGTTTCCAACACCATTCCGATCGCCCCCGCGCCGAGAACCAGGCCTGTCCGGCGCTTGTCAAAGGGGATCGCTGCTTCTGCCACTGTGGCTGCGATCGATGCGGCTCCCAATGCGCGGAACCCAGACCCCAGCCAAGGGATCAACACGTCTCCCGAGGCATTGTCGGAAGCGATAACGACCAAACGCTCGCATCGCCCTTGCTGAATAATGTCTTGCCCGATTGCAATGGCCTGAGTGGTCCCTGCGCAAGCCGCATTCGTCTGCATATTCGGCCCACGGGCTCCTACAATCTGAGCCAACTGGGCATTCCCTAAGACC